GGTGCATCGGTGTATGGATGCGGTCTATAAATATTTTCGGACTCTTTAAACAAGTTCTCAAAATGATCCGCACTCAATTCGCACATTTTCTCAGCTTCTTTTACTATCTCACCGTTGGGAAGAATAAAACCATGTAGAGAAGAAGATGAAGATTTCATGAACTTCTTTGTACGAGACCAAAAAGAAACAGAAAGATGTGAAGAGGTATTACGTGCTGATAAAGAAGAAGATAGTTGATTAAGTAAAAAGACTTTAAGTTCTTTTTTAGCCATTTTTCTTCTAAGTTTAACTATGATCTTTACTACTTCATCGCCTGTTCTTTTTTGCCTATATGCTAACGCACGTGTGTGGGACATATAAGCTCGTAGAGCTTGTGGAATAGAAATACGATATTTGTTAATTGGGAAGAATATAGTGCAACGTGAGATAAGAAGAGAGAGAAAAGATACATAATCGTTGTAGACATTATTTACGCTATTTAAGCACCAATTTTTTTCCCAAAATGGATAAACATACTCACTGAACAACGAAAAAACTTTCCAATGAATATTACGTGCAAGAACACTTTCTTTACATTTTATTGGTATAACAGAAAGAAGAGGTTTATGATCGCTAGAAACTACACCTTCATACGTTTGGATAGAAACAGAGAAGCCGCATGAAAAAGCATAGTCAATTGTACGGTTCGATCTTAAAGAGGTGATGGAATCAGGAATATACGGTGAAAGAAAGTGAGAATCTGCCCATGAAAGTAGTAACTCGGCCTTAAGCAGATCCTCTTCTACATCTACGTTAAAATCACCATAAAAAACACATTTACTCAAAACTAGAGGGGATAGGTCCTCCCACTTCCATGTTTTGCTCTCCGGTGCATAAACTCCTACAATTCTGATTTTATCATTTTCTTCTAGAATATCAGTTACACATACGTTCGGTAAATCACAAACAACTCTTTCTGCTTTTAAATCATTTCGTACTAACATAACAACACCACCATGCGCATTTTCGCCTCTCTGATAGTGGACTTTATATTTAGAAAAAACCTGTCTGCAGTGTGAAAAATCAAAAAAGCCTGTTTCTAGTAAAATCAAAATATCGAATTTAAATGAGTTAGATAGAAGTAATACTTCCTGATAACGCAAATCAAGACCTCGAACATTATATGATAGAATATGAAGAGAATTAATAATTGAAGACGTATCAATGACTCTATATGGCTCCCAACTTTTTAGACAAGCAGTAAGTGTAGGGGAACTTTCCCATTCAAATAAGATTTCATACCAAAGAGAAAAATCAAAATACGATAGGTTCACCTGTGCTTTACGAATGAAGAGTTCTCTCTCAAAAGAAGTCATTTTTGGGGTACAGGGGTCGAAAAAAGGAACTGCATGTGGAGAAAGTGACATTAGAAGTTTTTATTTTGAGTTACGTTTTCCTATTGTACACGCATTCTGTTTATTGTAACTTGAAAATCAGCATCTAATGTACCACCTTTCTTGTCAATATTAATTATTGATAAATATTTACTGATTTCATCAATCATTGGTACAATTAATTTTATAAATATATTTTCATGTCGTGTAATTTTAATTTCATGTTGAATAATATTTTTCTTAAATTCCACATCATTTTCTATTAAATGATCAATTTTCGTGGATAATATTTCATCATTTTTAATTTTATTGTTCATAAATAATTCAAATTCATCGTTTTTCTTCGAAAATTTTTCTAATGTATCATTTACTTTACGTACAGAACTAATTAATTCATCTATTTTATTTATCATTGAATTATTAGTAATCGAATATGGTGATGGTTGTTGTGGACGAGGAAGTACTGGAAAAGCAGTTGCATCATAACTATACGTATTATTGATATTAGTATTTGTTGAACCATAAGACGATGACATACGATTTGAAAACAACAATTTTTTTGTTAATTCTGCACGAAAATTTTTAACTATAGGACATTTTAATGAATTTGAAACGTGATCACCGTTACAGTGAACACATTTATTGACTAATGAACAGTTGTGATGACGAAGATCAGGACAGGACAAACTGCACACTTTGCAAGTTTCGTTGATTTGAGTACACTGTTTTTTAAAGTGGCCGATGGCCATGCATTTAGAACAGATCAACACATTTGCTGGTGATAAATATTCCTCCACGTCATATGTAATGCTATTTACTAGAATGTTACCAGCATTTAATATTTGCTCACGAGTCATTGGTGATAGAATTTCAATTTTAATTAATCTAATATTATTTTGA